GTGGGGAGCAGTGTGGCGTCTGTAGGGTCTGTTAGGTGTCAGTGGGGAGCAGTGTATCGTCTGTAGGGTCTGTTAGGTGTCAGTGGGGAGCAGTGTATCGTCTGTAGGGTGCTGTTCGGTGACAGTCGCTTAGAATTGGAGCAGCAAGTCTAGTGTTGTTTTTGGACCAAGTGCTGGTAATACCACAGAAATAGTTTTCTTAAAATAAATAAATAAAATGTTCTTAGTCAAGTTGAAAACTGCAGAATGTTAAGTAAACAGTAACTATAGTCAATTTTTTTATTATTCTATTGCTTGATGTATTTTCTTGTTTTGTTCTGTGAAAAGTCGGATTTGGTCATTTCCAGATTCTTCCTGTGCCATAATTAAGCCCTTTTCCCTATTTCATGTGTTTTTCCTTGAATGGTTTATTTTGTTAAAAACCCATAATTTTTAATTGGTGTTTTTCTGATTCTCTGAGCCCGAGCATTAAGAGCTTAAAATGAAGAGCCTGGTTATGGCTGGAATATGGGATCCCAAATGCTAATGAGGCCTTGTAATTAACTTGCTTTTATGCAAATGGCCTGTCACAGTGTTCCCATGGAGCCAGCTAGTCTTTGATCTGAGCTCTCCCCAATGGCCGCCGAGGGAGCCGGCAGCTGTGGGCAGGTTAGCGAAGGGTGATAATAGAGAAGCTCTCCGCAGCCGCGCCACCCCCCCCCTCTCCTCTCGGGCTGATCTTTCCAGCCCTCTGATTGGTTCCCTTGTTTCCTCGGTGTTGCTGCTCTGCTGAATGGCCAGAAATCAGGGAGGAGCTAAATTCAAATCTGCTTAGCAACAGGAAGTCTGAGAGTGCACCTCGTTCGGCATGGGAAAGACCTTTCTGATAGAAAGAGAATTCCGCTCAGAGGTGGTCTGTCTGGACTCTCCAGGTTTCTCTCCCCGTGGCAGAGACTGGGGCTGATGTCATGGCCCTTCCTGAGCACAATCCCAAGCACGTGTGCACACGGATGGGCTGGGCTTCATATAACAAGTGCAAATAGTTTTCAAGCCCATCTTGCAAAACAAAACATAAACTGTGTATATATATATATCATAACATGAAAAGGAATAGATTTTCCTTAACATGAAGAGTCAGTAGAGCCTGAAAGAGATCCTCTTTCTCACTACACGGACGAGACACTACACGGACGAGACGCTGAGGTGAAATACTGCTGAAGATGTGAGGGAGAAGACAGGAACACTACGGACTGGCTTTTAATTTGTAGTAAGATCCATTGCTTCACTCCAGACACTGTTCCTCGGCAGTTCATCCAGGTTTTTAAATCCGTCCAAACTTTGCTATACTGTCCAGCTTCATGGCTGTTTCTTCCCGCTTGCTCACTCAGGACATGGTGGAAGGCTGGAGGCTGGGTGCCTTGGTGTATCAGGAATGTATGACAGCAGAGCTACTTGTAAACCTGTTTGATGGGGAATACCATCAGCACTTACTCTTACTAACTCGGCTGTCTTTACAAACGAATCTGAGGGCAGCCCGTTTGCATCATTGGTGTGCTGCTGTCACATGAGTCAAGAAGCTCGTTCTGCCCTTTCTGGACTTCAGGGTGTGAGGTGTGGCCGAGCCTGTGTGCCCGACCCTGGGACTGCAAACCCGTTTTACTCCCAGGCCTCAGAGGCTACTGACCACTGCGTAGGAAATGTGAGCAGTCAACATCTGTGCAGGCATACGGGAGCACGTGCTCTCACCATCACGCACGAGTGGCTCTGGGCTTGATCTCTCAGAACGCTGTGGTCTGTCCCCCTCGCTCTCCCCACCGCCGTGTTCCCTGGCTGAACATGGTTCATCTCGGCGTTCCCCTGTGGGAATATGAAGAGCTGCTCTGGGCTCCACTCTGCAGTGTCTGCAGGTCGGCTGTGAGGTCGTGCTGCAGCCCCGGAGGACATGGCAGCAGGATCCTTTATGATCCTCCGTGCCTTTCACACTAGCGCGCCACAGTGCACCTGATCGAATCGACAGCAGCAACAGGTGACCACTGGGCATGGAGGAGAGGACCCACCCCTCCCCATTCATGAGTCCATTCATTAGGACAGATCAAGTGCAGTGTCTGCAACGGCCAGGGCTGGTCTCCTGTTGCCAGGGTGATTTAGTGGAGCTAGCCGAGGTTTCCTAGGCCTAGGTCATGCCAGCAAGGAAAGGAGTGGTTAGGGCTACTACCTGAGTTTTTTTTTTATAGTGCTTGGTGGACCTTTAAACTTCACTCGCAAGTCCTGGTCCTTATTTCTCACGAGACTCCTGTTTGCCTGTGTTTCAGAGCGGTTTTCCTGCATGATGAGGAGGGCGCCAGGCCTGCCAGCCAGCGCGTCCTGAAGCTGCAGAGAGGGTGCGATGTTGACGGGGCAGCCCCCGGTGTCTCAGCGTACCGGGTCCCTGTCCCAGTAAGTGCTGCGTCACAGCCTCTCCGTCCTCTGCGTAAAAGCAATCCCACAAGTACGGCTCAGAGAGAGTTTTTTTCCCCTCAGTCTTCCCAGCTCGCGGCCTGCTTGAGCTCAGTGTCTCTGCCCTGCCCGTGTCCAGCTGGCAGCTCGAAGTGACGGTGCTGTCCCGCTCTCCTCCCCCCTGCAGCATGAGCCTGTGCGCCACGGGCGGGCGGCAGCGTTGACTGAGCCATGGACCGGTGCAAGCACGTGGGCCGCCTGCGCCTGTCCCAGGACCACTCCATCCTGAACCCCCAGAAGTGGCGCTGTGTGGCCTGCCGGACCACCGAGTCGGTGTGGGCCTGCCTGAAGTGCTCGCACGTGGCCTGCGGGCGCTACATGGACGAGCACGCGCGGCAGCACTTCCGGGAGTCGCGCCACCCGCTGGCCATGGAGGTGCGCGAGCTGGACGTCTTCTGCTACGTCTGCGACGACTACGTGCTGAACGACAACGCCGAGGGCGACCTGAAGCTCCTGCGGGGGGCGCTGTCCACGGTGCGCGACCCCTCGTGCCCCGGCCGGCGCAGCCTGCGCTCCCTGGCCGCGGGGGACAGCCCCTCCTGCGAGCCCGCCAGCCCGCGGCCCAGCATGCAGGCGGCGCTGTGGCACCGGCGGCAGGCCCTGCTGTGGCGGGCCCTGCGGGCCTGGTTCCGCAGGAGCTCGCGCGGCCGGCAGCGGCTGGAGGAGCAGCGGCGGCAGGAGGAGCTGGAGCGCCGCAGGGAGGAGCTGCGCCGGCGGCGCCGCGAGGTGAAGCGCCGCCTGCTGGAGGAGCTTGCCAGCTCCCCGCCCAGGAAGAGCGCCCGGCTGCTCACGCAGGCGCCCCGGGACCCCGTCCTCATCCCCCGCAAGTTCAGGGACCCCCCGGAGCGCACGCCCCCGCAGGCGCCCCCCGCCTTGCTGGGGCTGCCCCGCAAGTCCGTGAGGAGTGGGAACGCCGCCCGGCTGCGGAAGTACTACTCCTACACCACGTCCCGGCGGAAAGTGGCCCCGGGCGTGACGGGGCTGCGCAACCTGGGCAACACCTGCTACATGAACTCCATCCTGCAGGTGCTCAGCCACCTGCAGAAGTTCCGCGAGTGCTTCCTCACCCTGGACCTGTGCGAGACCGAGGAGCTCCTGGCCAAGACCAACAGGCCCCGGGGCGGGGCGGGGCTTTCGGGCAAGGTGGTCAACGGCACGGCCCACTCCGGCACCGCCTCCGGGCGGAACGACAAGCCCGCCCCCGGGGGCCTGTCGGCCGCTGGCAAGCAGGGCCCCCTGCCCAGCCTGAACGCGGCCGAGCTGGTGCAGCCCAAGGAGCCGCGGTCCTCCTCCCGCCAGCAGATGTCGCTGTGTCACGAGCTGCACACGCTGTTCCGGGTGATGTGGTCGGGCCGCTGGGCGCTGGTCTCCCCCTTCGCCATGCTGCACTCCGTCTGGAACCTGATCCCGGCGTTCCGGGGCTACGACCAGCAGGACGCCCAGGAGTTCCTCTGCGAGCTGCTGGACAAGGTGCAGCAGGAGCTGGAGTCCGAGGGCACCAAGCGCAAGATTGTCATCCCCATCTCCCAGCGGAAGCTCACCAAGCAGGTCCTCAAGGTCGTCAACACCATCTTCCATGGACAGCTGCTCAGTCAGGTGGGGCTTCGGGCTGCGTCTGTGATGGCATCAGGTTTAGTGGAAGCATCTAAACCTCGATTAAGGGAAGACTGCTCCTTAGCACAGCGTTTTATTTCTTCCCCTGGTCCTTTAGTTGCACTTTCAGGTGAAGTGAAGGCTCAAGCAGGTGTGAGGAATTGCCGCACGCAGATTCTTCCATCAGTTCCCACTGATTAGTGAGTGATCAGTGCACCAGAACTGTAGTTGTTTTTACAAGAAGTGTTGTTAGAAAACCACGTAGTAGAGCACTGCGTTCTGCAGCTGTAAGTGTGTCTGGCGTTTTGGCGTGTGAGCATCATATATCGGAACTGCGTGCGGAGCATTGAGAGCAATTAGATAAAGCGGAGAACAGTAAGATTCTGTACGGCTCCTGGAGTTTCTGGAGGAATGCAATCTTGTGCGTGATACTTTGTAATTTGCTTAGTCAGAGATGGTGGGGAAGATCTGACTCTGCTGACTGAGCTGAAGGAGCACACGCACAAAACCACTGTGCAGCAGCGCTGCAGGCTGTGTCCCTGCAAACAGATGGCACCGTTGTTCCCTTCACATGAACAGTTGTAAATTTAGAAGGGTGTTTTTTGTAAAACCTAACTCAATAAAAGGTGAACCCATGAATTTTGCAGCAGACATGAAGTGATGTCTGCAGTGTTGCCTGAAGCAGCTGCAGCTCCTTGGAATCTGTTTCTGTTCTTCTGATAAACTATAAACTGTGTCTGTACACAGCTACATGCCCAAATGACTGATGATGTAACACTCCCCAGAAAAGTACACAAGCACAGCTGTAGTACGCACTACAAGGTTGAACTGTGAAGGCAGTATAAGAATGATAGTAACACTGTTTTAAGGTCTCAGTTATCTCTCAGGTAAAAGGGAAGTATGACTTATTCAGGGTTTTGTGATCGTGTGACATCTGCGATGAACTAGAGCTGTTTAACTGGGAGGACTGGCACCACCGTGGCTGCTGTCGTCTGTTGCACATCCAGAACTGGACTCCCCCTTCCTCCCCCTCTCCAGCAGCAGGGCTGGACTCATCCTTGCTCTGCATCTCTGTGCTGCAGGTCACCTGCCTGACCTGCAACTACAAGTCGAACACGGTGGAGCCCTTCTGGGACCTGTCCCTGGAGTTCCCGGAGCGCTACCACTGCGTGGAGAAGGGTGCTGGCACACTGGCCTACCACAGCGACTGCACGCTCACCGAGATGCTGGCCAAATTCACCGAGACGGAGGCTCTGGAGGGGAGGATCTACGCCTGCGATCAGTGCAACAGTCAGTACTATAGATTCCAGGGCGCCGGTCGCTCGCCGGCGGGGACCATACGGACTGGGACCGTCAAGACCGCCGAGTTGACTACTGTGACAGCTGTGCCTCGTAGACTTATATAACTCTGTGTCTACCTCACTGTGTTGTAGCTGTGTAGCTGCTGAGTAAATGATTTCCTTATGAGCCTTTAGTAGACTTTTGCTTTGCATGTTTTCTGCGCTCCCAGACAGAACGCTTCTGACTGGCTGCTTCCTCTCACTGTGATTCAGGTAAGAGGCGGAAATCCTCCCCGAAGCCCTTGGTTCTCACGGAAGCATGTAAACAGTTACTGATCTACAGGCTACCTCAGGTCCTGCGGCTTCACCTCAAACGGTTCAGGTGAGTCTCTATGGTGCGGGAAGGGCAAGGTTTGTGGGTGTCATTCCGTCTCTGAGGGGCACCCAGCCCCTGTTGGTCACAGGTGTGCAACATACATGATGTCACCCTCCATACTACAGGTGGTCTGGTCGCAATCACAGAGAGAAGATTGGGGTGCATGTGACCTTCGACCAAGTTTTGAACATGGAGCCTTACTGCTGCAAGGACTCCCTCTCCTCTCTGCACAGGGAGAGCTTCACCTATGACCTGTCTGCTGTTGTCATGCACCACGGCAAGGGGTTCGGCTCAGGACACTACACTGCTTACTGCTACAACACGGAGGGGGGTGAGTGTGAGAGGGAGGGGAACGAGACACTGCATACTGCATACTGCATACTGGGGGGAAGGAGAGGGCAGACACTGAGTCATGAGAGCAAGAGAGACTGCCCCGCCATACTCCACACACCCCACACCATCCTCAGCGACATGACGGGGGTAGAAAGGCCAGTGAGTTCTGAAATCATGGCAGGATACAACATAATTGGTCTTGTGCTTGTTTATATTGTTGTTTATATCATTGTTGAAAATGCCCTGAATTTGAACATAATTACCATCTTTTGACTTGCAAGGTTTCTGGGTTCACTGCAATGACTCCAAGATGAACGTCTGCAGCGTGGAGGAGGTGTGCAACACTCAGGCCTACATCCTGTTCTACACTCAGCGATCTGCAGAGGCCAGCATGGCCTGACCCTCTCACCCGCGTCTGTCCTGCCCCACCGCGCTCTGGACTCTTCGCCGGCTGTGGGGCCCTCCTGCTACAGCATCACCCCTGGGGCGGAGAGCAGCACGCCAGACTCCGTCAACGAGCGGATTGCTCCAGCACTGGCACCTGCGCCGTCACCTCGCCAACTGGGGGCGCTCTGGGGGGGTCAGCAAGAATTAGAGACATGGGAAGGTGGGGAGTGATGGGAAAGCGTGTCTCTGCGGTGAATGATGGGAAGGTGTGAGTGTCTCCGCGGGGAGTGATGGGAAGGCGTGAGTGTCTCCGGGGGCGAGTGTCTTCGTGGGGAGTGATAGGAAGGCGTGAGTGTCTCTGGGGGGAGAGTGTCTTTGCGGGGAGTGATGGGAAGGCGTGAGTGTCTCCGCGGGGAGCGATGGGAAGGTGTGAGTGTCTCTGGGGGGCGTGACTGTCTCCAGGGTGCATAATGGGAAGTATGACTGTTGCTGCTGGCCTCGGCGAGGGGGAGACGGAGGCTTGAGGCTTGAACGGTTAGGTGCTGATGAGTTGTGAGGCGCTGAGGAGACTGCTCCTGGAGCTGAAGACTGATGAGATGAAAAGTGCAGAGGGAAGACTGGGAAACGGGTGGCTCTGGGGGTTAGGAAGAAGACTGATAGGTGATGAGGAGAGTTCTTCCAAATGGGTCTGAGATTAAAGCAGCTGGGAGAAGGTCTGTGTTTGTCTTTTATTTTGGCAGGGATAGTTTTTCCATCAGGCTCCAGATGTGAGTGGGGGAGAAGAGTGACCATGCAGCCTAGTGACGCACTGTGACAGAAAAACGAGATTCAGGAATTGTGCAAATTTTTATTGCAATGTTTTCTACATTACTGTGTTCTTCTTTGGGTGTGTGCTTGACAAAGAGGTGATATATCTCATCTCTCCTTTATCTCTCGATGGGAATGTTAAAACGCAGAACCTCAATCTTCACACGCTTTTACTCCAAATCTGAGTAAACAAGTCTGATCGCTGTGGCTGAGAGAACAGCAGAAGTTTGTTTACACACCTCCGCTCTGGCTGGCTCACAGTTTAAAGAGTTTAGTCACTGGCATTTTTTCCCAGCAACCTCTCTAACCCAAGCACCAAATTCTCCTTGATACATTTTCTGACGGCTGTGCATCTGTACCAGTTTACCTGCTGTTAGCTCTGCTGGCTCTCAGGATACCAGTTCTAAGTACAGTGCAGTCTCAGTTTGCTTTCTTACAGGACTGTGTACTGTATAGTTTGCCAAGTCGGAGCTTCAGGCTGTTCATTGGAAAGTGTGGCATTCCCTATGCTGCTGTTTCACACAGTCCTGCCATTTTCAGGATGACGAATTGCAGGTTTTTTCTTTTGTCAGCTAGCCCTAGTCACCACTGACTCTTTAGACTGTTTTTCTGTTTCTGGGGCAGTGGGGCTTAATGAGATGGTTTTTTTTTTTAAATAGTCTTGACATGCAGAGCCATGGGGGTAACTGATGCACCATGTCAGTGTTGAGTGGGCATCCTGCCCCTAGTGTTCAGGGTGGTGCATCACGTCATAGTTGATTGGGCATCTTGCCATTAGTGTTCAGAACAGTGAATTCGGTCAGTGCTGAGTGGGAATCCAGCCCCTAGTGTTTTGGTATGTGGTTGACACTGGGCCCATCTTAACTTGACATTCTGTCGTCTATTGTGGCCACCATCAGCATCCAGCGCAGCAGAGCTCCACTCTGGGCAAAGTGCAGCTGACAAACTTCTGCTGTGCTTCTCTGCTCACGTACCAGCAGCCCTGCCTCTCAGGAGCACCAACCAGTGTTTCCCCTCGTATCTGCAGCCATTACAGACCACAGGGCTGTGCCTGCTGCACCCTGCCTAGTGGAAGAGGCACAGATAACATTTTCCTCCACACGTCTTACCAAGTTTTATTTACACATCATTTTTTCAAGAGGGGGGGTGGTTTACTGTGTCACAGAACAGCCTATACAGGTTTTAACTTCCTATCCGAATACTGTGTGCAAACCGGACCTCTTAACGGGTGCCTTCAGAAGCCCAGTGACATCAGCTCAGCTGCTATGCAGACTGCACAACTTATTGACGATTGAAATATTTTACCTTGGTCCTATCTTTAAAATCATAACTTGAACATAGACTCTGTCTGCCCCCATGACCCAGTTTCTGGATTGGCAGATGTATGGGAAATGACTCGCTCTTCCTGTTGTTTGCTGGTACAGAAGTGGAGTCCCCCACCTCCAATTTTCTAACTGACATTGAACTGATGACAAAGAAGGCTTCTTAAACAATGTGCCAGAAGAAGGGTGCAGCTTTTAAACCTGTGAATTTCATTTCTGTTGATGTATGAAATCAATTATTTCATTTCTGTGTGAAACCTTTTGTTGTTTTTGGATGAAATCAATCTTCAAGTGATTTAATTCCCTTTCAGAAAGAATGTTTAATGTCACATCTCCCACCACCCCAAATCAAGTGATCTGAGCATTGTTGAAACAAATCAAAGCATATTCTCTAAAGGACCAAAGCACTCCCCTGATATGCCGTATCTCTAGATTGTTCAAAAGCAGGGCAGGCAGGCAGGAAAAGAGAGATCTCGCTTATTTGGTGCCTTTTCTTACTGCTGACTCACTGCTGCCCTCCCCTGGAGGAGAATCGGTAATGCAAACGAACCAATCGAGTTAACATCCTGGGTCGAATTCATGGAAAAACATTTTCCAACACGTTATATTTTACATCCGTTTTGACTCTATCAAAAAACAGTGTTAAAGGGTGAATCTATAATCTTTCAATATACTGAGTAAGAAGTCATATCATGTAATAGTTTCTTTTCTAATATCAGGATCCTCATCATCCCCCATCCAGTTTGCTTCATTCCAAAGTAATTAGATCTGGACTCTGAGGTTTTTGCTTACAAAAGGTGTAAATAGCGTGTTGGAATATATTTTATGAATACGTCCCCTTGTGTCTTGTCACAACAAAGTGACCCTTATGTATTTTGATTTTTTCATACCTGTATAAAGAATCAGTCCTTAACCAGCATATTAAATCTCAGTATGATCTAGTCTGCATCTGGAACTTTGTAATATATTGAGATTCTTGGGTTTTTTTTTTTAATAGAGGGATGGTAAGGGCAGTGTACTTCTGAAATCAATATTTTTTTCTAACTGAGTTGCTCTGGCCTACTGTAACTAGAACGTTCTTGTTTGTTTTATTGCCTTGAAATTTTAAAATGGAAAACCTCTTTGCGATTGCTGGCTCAGAGTAAACGTCATTCTTAAGATTCCTGTGTTGTTTCCTTTCTTTTAAAAGCTCTACACTGGAATCACATGCTCCATGTTTCACTATTTACCAATAACCCAAGGCTCTTCTAAAGCTAATCCTACATTTTTAAAACCTTTCTGAGAACAAGTTGGGTCTTCAAGAAAATATTCTTGAAGACTCTTAAGGAAAAGCAGCACTTCTAAGATTAGACTGAGTGTATTTCACTCCCTAAAGAAATCTTCACAGGCTCTCCAATAGAAAAGCCTAGTGAGATGATAATCCTTAGTGTTAGCAAAATTTATTTTACATGACCCAGAGAAATGTTTTTACACAAACAGTTTTATTGTTTCTTAAATACAAAGAAAAAAGGAAAGTAGACCTCCACTGGTGCTCTTCAGAAATCCAGTCCCTTTTGAAGCATTTTGGTCATAAGCACCTGTGAATTATAACATTGGATTAATTTTTTAAATTCCAATATAAGAATGCTAAGTTATTCCTTGAAGTCACGTGGATAATTGTTTACTAAAACTGAACGTTTCAGTGCAGATGTTAGGTTCATTGCCACATATTCATGAGATTTGTCTCTCAGTCAAGCTTCTGGGTACCCAAACCTCCCCAGAAAATCTTTAACCCCCAGGCTAGAATGAAATCGAGGCAATAAAATATATTCACAAGTGGGTTCAATTTGACATCTTAAAATGAAAAGACTAGCTGCAAATTCTGCTAATTTATATATTTTAGATCCGAAAATCTAAAATATACCATAATAGAAATAGACCATAATCTGATGTGCTCTAATGGAAGAACGGGGACTCTTCTTCTGGGGTAACAGCTATGTACTGTACCTTATTCTGGGTGCACTTGTATTCAGGAAATCGGCTGTGGAGACATCAAGTCAAAGTCGGATAAATTCCTTGCCACCCAAACGCCGGCTGCAAAGAGTCCCAAATTCACCAACAGATTCCTGAGGGGAAAAAAAACAAAGGGCTATCAGGAATTTTAGAGTTGTAGTTTGCAAATGGTCGATGTCAAGATGATACCAGCCTTAAACAGTTCAGAACAAAAGCATTGCAAATGAGAGGAGGCCATTCAGCCCATCTGTCCTGTAAGATTTTTTGCAGGTTAATGACACAAGAATATCTAGGTCTTGATAAGGTAACTGATTCCATAGAATGATTGCTGAGAGTTGGTTCCAGACTCCCCAAAACCTCTGTGTACAGAAGGGTCTCCTGTTCCGTCTTGAATGGCCCTAAACTTCACTTCCTCTTGTGGTCCCAGATCCTTGTGTTTCTGTGGAGCTGGTTAATGCCTGTCTACACATAAGTTTAGATACCTCTCCCACTGCATGGCGTGGTCTACCTAAGTATTTATTACACTTCCCCACTGTGAACACCAGCTTCCACATTGTCAGCAGTGGACGAGCCTCAGTTTTCCTCACTAATCACCTGCAGACTCCCGTACCAGGTTTACACCGATAACCACACAAGAGCTGTGAACATTCAAATAGTGTCATTAAAAATCCTACTGTACCAGACTGTTGGATATACAGTTACAATGAAGCACTCGACTGTTATAGTACAGCTACAGTAGTCTAGAGTGTTATAGAATACAGTTACGGTACAGTACTAGATTGTTACAGAACTATATTCGATTTTTCCATAGATACTGCGATCGTAATAAAAGCAGTCAGGGTTTTGATGGAAGGTACTGCATCACTGTTCTTATGTGGTTGGGGCGGTCGCTGAGCCCAGTAACGCTCCACTTTAACACGAAGAGGGGAATTATACCCCTACCTTCTGAAGTCGTTCCGGTCGGTGGCGAAGCTGTAAGCACTGCAGATCCAGTCCTTCACGCCGGACGGGCTCGGTGCAGCTTTCTTCCCCGTCATGCTCTCTTTCTGCGCGATATCCAGAGCTGAGCAGCGGGCAGGCACGCACCAGCAAGAGCACAGGAAGTTTGCACCAAGAAAGCCTCTCCTGCAGGAGGTGAGCAACACTGAAAAGGGTACGACGGGAACTGGAGGTTTGAGCTGACTCTGGTTCCTCCTGCCTTCTCCTCCCCTTTCCCTTATTTGGGTTAATTTAACCTTTTTAATGACGACTCGTGGTTTTAAAAAGCCCCGTTCGATGCACTCTCTCGTAAGATGTCGTACAAAATAAGGGTTTTTGTTGTTCACAAACATGAATATTTTTTTTTTAGCAATGAAGTTTACTTTAGACAAGATTCTTAGAAAACTCTGTACGACACAGCTCGGAAAATGTCCGAACGGAGTATTTGATTCAGAGATATTACCGGTACCGGTACTCAGCGATACATGGATAAATTGCAGTAATCTATAGTCGTGTCCTAATTATACCCCAAGTTATCCGGCCCCGGCCTTGAGCACTGATAAGCCCCGTGAATTAACGCAGTTTGGAAACATTAGTTAGCAGGACTAACTGCGGGGGCTCTGCGCCTTTAAGAGGCGGCCCGAGGTCATGTGACCGGCGCGGCGGCTGCAGGAGCGAGACTCGGAGCACAAAGGGGAGAGGTTCTCTGCCGGGCGACTGCTGGCCCAACGGGACTGAGTGGGCGGGCATGGTAATGCAGACTCGTCCGTCTCTGTTTATCCGTTGTCAGATTGCTCAGGTAACTGGGGGTTTAGGAAACTGCGGTGTTTGTTTTTTTCTAAATAGTGTCAGATCTGAAAGTCTTGTGTTGTAGCTTCTCAGCTCTTTGTTTTTTTCCACAGCCTTCATCATCTTTAACAGTAGCTGGCTCATTTGCACAGTTGAATTTAGCCGGAGGGCTGGCGCGGACCGGCGCCGGGGAGGACAGGGCGCTCATTGTGTCGGACAGGGCTGCTGTTTGTACACATAGCGGCTCCTCTGTCATCATGTTCACGCATCGTGACGCGAGCAGGAGCTGTCAGCCCCACTAATTCGCTCTTTCTTTGTGCTCTTGTCTGAACTGCAAGATGCAGGACGAAGGGACGAGGGTCCCGTCCGGTAGCCCCGCCGAGCCCGGACCAGCTGTTGGGCAGAGGAGGACTTTCGCGACCGCTTACTCGGACTCGGATAGCGAAAGCGAGCAGGTGGGATAGGCGTGGGCCGGCTGGGCTCGCATCTGAGGGCTCCAGTGTTTGAGAGGGACGGGAGGCACAGAGATTCGTTTTAACTGTAGAGCATTTTCTCTGCTAACCCTTCAGTGTAGCTGCCGGATCTCACAGGTGAAACGCACTGTAGGGCTAGGATTGCACGTTACTGCTGTGAAGCCCAACTGCACGCGAGAGGGTACCTGCTGTGATCTGTTGTTGTGATTCCAAAAAACGTTCTGTGCTGATTTCCCATGTAAAGCGTACGGTCGAGAAGAGGATGCTTGCTACGCAGGCGTCTACTTTATTAAGGCAGCTGTTCCATGGGTGGAAATGAGGTCTGGTTACGGAGCATTTTGAGAGATTTCAGACACTTGTACAAATTGTGCAAAGGAGGCTGAAACATTATATACTGGGCTTCTGCCATATGGGCTATTTGCAGATAGTGGGTTTGTTGTTTATAGCGGCTGTGTGCCTGTCAGACAGGCTGGAACATTCGGTGACCTGGAAGTCATAGGAACTGCCCTGCTAATCAGGGAGCAGAGTTTTCTGTGAACGTCTACATGCTCGGAAAGTGGAGCTTTCCCCTTTTTCTCTTCACCTTTGCAGGAACGGTCTGCTGCTCTCACACTGCTGAACGGCCTCTGTTTGTTCTCCAGGAGCCGACGAGGAAGAAGCTGGCCCCTGACCTGGCGGCTCCGGCCCCTTCCTCCATCAACATCCTCGCCCAGCTGGAGCTGTCCCTGCAGCGGGAGCAGGCAGAGCACACGGACCCCCAGGTGACTCTGTCCTCCCACCTGCGCCCCAGTAGAATGGAGGGGTACCTGTCGGCCCCCTGCCATGTGAAAACCAACCCCTGGCCTGGCCTGTAGAGCAGCAGGAGTGTGTACCAGCTGAGTGCTCACAAACCTCTGTTCATGAGGTACTTTCCAGTCCGCTCCACTGCAGGACGACAGTGATGGGCTTCCATTAAATAATCAAGGAGCTGGTGGCTGCAGAGTTCTTCGCTTGACTGGAATGGCCACAGGGCGAGTAGCGTTCGAGTTACTTGAAGGAAAATAATCAACTCTCTCAGGGAGAAGTTGTGTGTTTTTCTAGCGTGTCTTTTGTCCGCAACCTAAATAAGCGATCAGATCAAATCTTCATATTCAGTTCAATCTCTTCATTATTAAGCTTGGCTGTTCTCGATGCAGTTTACATTTTTTGTGGTTGTTTTTGTGTGCCTTGTGTTCTGATACTAGAACTCACAACAAACTGACCACTAGATACCACATTTTCTTGAGTGACCTGGGCATATAGCCCAAGAAGAATCTTGCGTATCATCAGTATGAAAGCTGGAGCTAAATTAGTCCAGTCTTTAAAATAATAGACAAGTGGGAGGCTTTTCCTCTCCTCCATCTGTATTGGGGGTCGGCAGAGGAGGGACAGTGTCGCAGCGGCAGTGACCCCCCTGTGTCCTGCTCTGTGTTTGTGGAAGGTGGCAGGTGCGGAGCGGGGCGACAGTGACTGGGGGGAGGACGAGGCTCTGCAGCAGCGCTCCAAGGAGGACCTCATCGCCGAGATCAAGGCTCTGCGCGCCCAGCTGGCCCAGTCGGCCTGCGAGACCCGCCGCCTGCGGCAGTGCCTGACCGTGTTCCGAGGTGACAGCTCGCGGCTCGCCCGCGCCTCGCCGGGCCGCTGAATGAGTCCACGGTCATCGGGGGAAGGGAGAAAGAGGCCAGAACTCAGATTAACTCCGATGAGCTGCCTTGTGCTCACGCAGAGGTGGTAAAAGAAGGGAAGGTTGGCGGTGGGACTATTTACAGGGGCTCCCTGAGAATAAACAGCTTTGATCCAGGCAAGATTTCATGTGAGCACAGCTTAAAATGGATTACAATCAGACCTGTGGCAAGCTTGTCAGCGTTTGAGCCCGAAGGAACACGCTGGTCGCAGAGCATCGCCGAGATCCAGAGGCTGATCAGGGTCTCCTCTCTGCTTTCCTCTCCCCTCTCTGCAGTTCTCCCGAAAGCAGTGAGGAACTTCACTCGCCTCGTTGACAGGGCAGAGTCCCTCCTGCAGGCCCCAGGGCCAGGGGGATTGGATCAGCCCTCTGGGGACCCCAGCACCCTGGGAGACGCCCCGATGTACCCCAGCCCCAGTTCCCTGTCCAGTGCCAGCGCTAGTTCCTCCAGCTCCCCTCTCAGCACTCCGGGCAGCCCCTCCGCGCACAACAGGAAATGGGTGAGCCTAAGTCGGGCACCAGACGCACCGCGGTGCTGCTTGTTCACTCCAGGTGCAACCTGTCTAACTCGTCTTCTCTTGACCAGGAAAACCCTTCCGACTGGAACCCTGCGCAGCTCGCTCCGTTCTCCCAGGTACGTCTTCCTCTGACTGCGGTGTCGGAGAGGGAGGTGGGCTACCTGCCTGTTCTTCTGTCCTGCTGGTTTTGACGTACCCCCGTCTGTCTCCAGATCAAGATAGAAAAGTGGCAGATCGAGCGCTTCAACAAGTCAACCCCTCAGAAGTTTGTGAATGACCTGATGCAGTCTCTCTATACCACGGAGTTCATGGCCACGCACAGCGTGACCGGCGCCCGCTCCTCCTCCTCCAAGTACCGCGAGACCAAGCCGGCCATGGACCGCGCGGAGGTGCAGGCCATACTGGGTGAGTGGGCACTGGCACTGCAGCCAAGCCCAGGCGCAGACACCCTTACTGCCCCATTACGATTAGGCCTTCGGGAGTCCCTATTGAAAGTCTAAATATTATATGCAATCTAATCTATATATTCTATTAGAATACACCCTCTTACTTCCGTACAGGTCTGATTGTCATTTTGCCTTTATAAGACTGGGGACCTAATTCTTGTTTGTCTTTCTCTCATTGTTGCCAGACGTCACAAAGCACTTCTTCCCAGACATGACGGATACTCTGATCAGGAGAATGATGGGACAGAAACTGAACAACTGCACCAAGAAGTTTGCAGCAAGTAAAGTCAAGACGGAACTCTACCCTTTAATTAATTACCCAGTTAGCCAGATAATTAAATAGTTAATGGTTTAATTAGACGGTTTTGTCTCCAAGTGTGTGCTGGCAGGAAGTGACGCACAGAAACTTTGGAACTTAGATGTTATGTCTTTTTCCTCAGTTAGAATATGTTGTTTCTGAGAGCAGGCGACTAAACCATGGCGCAACACTTCAGTTGTGTTGTAGGTCCCCCGGTCTGTAAAGCAGCCTGTTACTAGCCCTGTCCTGCAGGATCCCCACCTGTACTGCCCTAGGGGTGGAGTGAAGGTGTGATACTGTCTCACACTGTCCAGTCAGCCCAGCCTACCTCCTCCCTGGATGACTGCAGACTTCATTCCAACGCCTGGAAGAGGCATGAAGCACTTACATTGAGATCTGCAGTACAGTTGGAAACTGTGCATTGTTGGAGCTGGAAAGACAGGCTGTTAACTTTTCCCATTACACAGGTCTGCAGAGTAGATTAACACATGCTGGTCAGTAGAGGAGGCACGTTGGCTGAGGTGTGACGACAACCGGACTGCGCCATGGAGAGCTGATGGACTGTGGGGATGCTGGGAAGACGTGGCGAGCACTGACGTTATGCCACAGTGATGCTTGGACTGCTCGGACGCACAGAGGGTCCAGCTGGACATGGGACTGGGGGGAGGACTTCCTTACTCCAGTTCTAGTGCTGTGGCACAACAGAGCTCCAGGGTCTGGGTTCTGTTGTGTCCAAAGCCCTTGATAATTGTATTGAATTATTGGGCTAAATCACCAGCAGGTCACAGGTAGAGCAATTATAAACCCTGGAAAGGGTTAAACCAGGATAGATGAGAAGGCCCAGGGCCTGATCCAGGATCTAGCGGACCTGAATCGTTTAATGGCTGAGTCAATTCAGATGCATGCAATGATTGGGGCTTTCCAAGAGCAGGCTGGAGTTCAGTGTACACAGCTCGGGGCCTGCTGGCCTGGTGCTGCAGTGCCACCGATACGCCAGTACAAAGCAAAGGGAGAGATGGAAGAAACAGCTTTGTAGCATTCTGATGTTTAGTGTCAGAGATTGACCTGGTTAAAATGGAGCTGTGGATGTAAACTAACTAGAAGTTACTGTGAGTGTACAAAATATTTAGATGGTTTTTTGCTTGAAACTGTGGTTAATAATTAAAATGCTTCCCATTTTTCAGTATGCACGGTTTTCTGTAGCTGCACTTTTCATTATCGTTTCACCTTCATGATCTCCATCTCCTCCCACCTCCTCTGTCTGCTGAGTGCTTCAATCAAAAAAAAAAAAAGAAAAGTTACAAATGAGACGAGGCCATTTGGCCCATCCACCCTTTCATAATTTCGTAATTAGCAGCTAATGAGGATCTCATCTAGATGTTTGAAACAAATGGCATCCGCTTTGACATCACAACCACAGTCCTGCAGAGTTGGCAGCTCTGGCATGAGTTCATTTTGCCTGAGCTCCTGCCGCTAACATCCTTCTTCATTGGGTGAAGGAGGTCTGAAGAGACCTAGATCATTGCATCTGTGTTCTCGAAGAGAGTCTTAACGATACTCATCTTGCCAGCTTTACTGAGAGCTGAACAAGACATGGGCCATGTGACCAACTTTGCAATCTTTGTTTTCTGTTAGGACCTGTAAGTTAGTATTCTGTGATTCATTTGTACTGAACAACCAGTATTAACGTGAGTTGATAAAGGGAGCTGTATCTTGTCCGATTTCATCTGTCTTTCTGCTCTGAGCCGGGCTGGTGTCTGGCTGGTTGCTGGGGCCTGGGCTCTGCCAGTAGAGGGCGCAAGGATGGCTGCCGGAGCATCAGTATCAGTTTACTTTGTGTGCTGGGGGGATAATACTGTGGCCACATCAGCAAGCGTGTTCGGAAGCAGGCTATGTGGGATCACAGTTTCATCAGTCAAAAGGCTGACCATAGTGGTGCCATTGGCTAAAGGCTCGAGGGCCAGAGGTCGCCACTGGGCTTGGCAGGGGGGGCACATGAGGCCCCTTTGCTATTGGGGTCACCATGGTGAGTGAAGTTGCCCCAGTAGCAGGTCATGCTGTCAGCAAGCGCCGGTTCCTGGCTGGCGAGGGTGAGGAGACTGCTGGTGCTTCATGGGAAGGGCAGCTTGGAGCCTTGGCCCACATGGTTGGAGCAACCTGTCAGTAACCTTAACTGGCTTTTAACTTCGCAGTTGACCCTGCTGCTAAACAGTGCGTTTAAATTAGTTGAAGGGAGGTCAGTTGTGGAGAAGGAAACAGGACTGAGATGGAGGAATAGCAGACACGCCAAAGGCCTGCCACCAGGAGAGAAGCGATGGTGCCTTTCAACATGGCACAAGTGGCAGCGGTGTGCCCTGTGGATGACATAGCAGTGAGGATGGCCTTGTTGCTTTGCAAGGGCAGTATAGATCTGCTCTGAGGGTTACCTCTGCAGCAAAGCTCTGATGTACAGGATGTTCCTGTGCAGCTTAACTCCATAGCAGGTAACCCAGTGCCAGCCCACCCACCACAGTGGAGCCACAGGTGGGGATTTCAAGGGCAACATATGACATTACTGGGGCAGTGGAGAGCTCCACCCATCCATTATCTAAACGCAGTGCTTCACTGTGCTGCCCTACACTTGAAACTTGTAGCTTTTATTTTACGGGCTGCTTGCAAATGAGCTGGACAGTTCCACGAGGAAAAGTGTAACAGAGATTTTTAAAAGGTACAGGCACACAGGCACAAGAATGTATGAAAGGCTACAAATGAGAGGAGATCACTTGGCCCCTGTTTGCGGTTTGTTTCCTCATTTGCTAATTGACCACTAAAACTCATCCAGCTCTTGTGTGTGGAATCCCAGGAGCTGCCTTCAGCAGCACAGCAGGGCAGCTGCTCTGAGCCCTGAGCTTTTGCCCCAGCAGCCTTCAGATTCCTTCGTGGTGGGATGGGTGTCTTGATCTTGTCAGGTCCGCAGCCCGATGAGGGGGTCAGCTTGGGAGCACTGCCTGCTGAAACAGTGCACAATCGGGTGGAGCCCCACACACTCGCCCCTGTGCCCCTGTCCAAGCAGCATGGCCCAGGGGTGGACTGGGAATAAGAGTCTTCTCCCAGATTCCTCACCTGCTCTGGCCCTTAGATTAAGGTTGTCTGGAGGCTGGAATTTCATACATCATACAATGCCTTGCAGGGCAAGGGGTCTTGGGTCGGGTTCCAGTTAGAGGCTAGGCATAGGGTATCCCAAAAAGGCGGTCTTGAGTCTCTGGTTTGAATTCCATTCACTGGGCCCTGAGCAGCCCACTCAACAGATCAGCCAGGATGATCCACTGAAGCCAGAGCCTGGAGGCGGCTTTTGCCTTTGCTTTGCTCATGTTGCTGCCACTGCAGCTGCTGAGCCTCTTTATATACGACAGCTCATAACCCCTATCTGTGACCAGACCACAGCAGGGCCTTGGTTTTCAGAGCTTTACACAAGAGTCCTCTAAGCAGCTTATAGCTCATCCCAAACTCCCACCTGGCTTTGAGCCAGTGAGGCCATGTGCAAAGCTAGTGTAAGAACATTAGAGTTTTATAGTCTCTGCAGAGCCACTTGGCTGGATGGGTTATGATATACACTATCTTTAAACGTCCGAAGAGACAAGTAGAACTCTATGTACACAAGCAGGTAAGCTGAACACCGGAAGAAGGCTCCACAGCTGAAACGTTGTTTTCCCTCTATTTTCAGCATGGAATAAAATCTTTGCTCGCTCCTCTATGTACACACGTATCATATGTACTACAGTGTTTTCTTATTTTTATCATAATTATTGTATATATTTTGACACCCGTGATTTTGTTTTCATTAGATGCTAAAGAAGAACGAAAAAAAAAAACGGACGACTAGTGTAAGTGCACAGCCCGAGCGATACGCGGTCGTGTTTCATCCATGCACCTTTAAATACATGTAGTTGGTGTTGATCACCTCTAGGTGGCGGTACAGGTAAATTGCAATACTTTTGCCTTGAAAGAGCTGCTCTTGTACCCTCTTAGCTGCGCTTTGATACCCCACCGGTCCTTGTTACACGTCTTGCGATGCTGATTTGGGAATTGTTTGTTTCTATATGGGCAGGTAACCGTAGTGGTGGTGCGACAGTACTTAGTCGGTGTTTTCAAATCCGGCACGAAATTTATAAGCAATTAATAATAAGCAATTTTCGGCAAAGCTTTGAAAGATCCACTCAGATACACTGCAGTTAGGTGAAGAATTAGCATTCTCGGTGCAGTTTATGACCAATTTGAGTTTTTCAGGAGAGATGGAACGCTTGACCGTACTATAATGGCGTTTTTGACACGCTGCTCGGAGGACCAGGAGGCGCTCTGGCTGTTGTGGGATATCGTTGTTCCTGTTTGACGCTATATGATAGGTGGGTTAGAGTTGATACGGTGACGTTGGAACGGCCCGAGCGTTTGGAGCAGGATGAGGAAGTGCTTGGATAGTGAGGAGGGTCAGAGAGAGAGAGGGGATTTGGGTTAGCGAGCGAGTTTGCACAGAGACAGACGAAACAAACCGACGTTTGTGCAACGTTGAGGCGCGGCTCCGGGCTTCTCCTTGGGTACGCTGCGCAGGGCTGGGGCTCCCCGCTAAAGGTACAAGTGTAAGGGACTGAAATCGAGGTTGGGACGACGAGCAATCAATACGGATAGTTTTTTTTTCTCTGCTTTCTCTCCGTATCTGTTCGATCCTCTGATTCTCGGTCTTTTTTCTCCCGATCGTCACTCTACTCATCTTTTCTCCTGTGTCTGTCCCGAGCGAGTGGTAGAAGTAGAGGGAATTGCGCTTCGTCAGAGCACAAGATGAATATACCGACAGGGAGTGAAATCGGGAGGTTCAGCGCCAAGAAAAGCCTGTTGCCCGCTTGCAACGGGGAGCCGCATCTGTGTCCCCCGAGTGTGTCTAATTCACGCGTGTAACTGACACTCCCGCTGAGGGTGAAACAGCATGAAGACGCCCGAGTCCTTGAGTGCTTGGAGCTGCCGAGCTGCCGGTCTTAGTTGGTGTATCTGCGCACGGAGGGCCTGCCCAGGTGTTGTCTCGCTATCTAACCTCTCCCTCTCTGCCCCGACACACGCTGGTTTCTAATAATAGATGACACACGCCAATGTGTCACCTTATTTATACCTGAGCCGTTTCCAGGAAGTACCTTTACAGTAAGTGCGCCAAACAGTCTGGAAAACAGCCTCCCTGAAGAGATCCGGGCAGCAGTTATAGAAAACGCGTCACTTTCGATTTAGCGTTCAAACTCGCCGCGGCCACGGTCGTTGTCTATGGTCATCACTTTAGGGCAGCAGCCCCTGAACGTGAGTACCTACGGAAATTCCTAACGTTATGCCGTGTTCACTGTTTTAATGCTGGCTGAGGGAAAATCCTGGCTCGGTGTCTGTGAGGACGAACGATTCCGCTTCGGAGCTGAAGTAGTCGTTCAGTTCCGATGAAATCCAAGCGCGCCGGGCGGCCAGCCTGGTCCTCGAGAGCAGGGGTCCCGTAGGTCTCGGGTCACCCGAAATCAGCAGTTTGTCAAGACCTGGACTCCGGAGCTCTGCTCGCTTTATTAGTGAATTGTGTCAGATCAGTTCGGAGTTGAGGGTGTGGGGAGCTTGATTTTAAGACACTGACTTTGAACGAACCAGGTGCTTACGTTAGGATAATGAAATTTCTTCACGTTTTTGGAAACGGCTGGTATGGGAGTGACCTTCGACCAGGCCCAGGGCTGGTACTCGGGGCATCCACTCTACAATTCTGCCTTTTACTGACCTAGAAACCTGAACTGAATAGCCTTTTCTTTAGAACTCTGTAGAGCTGCAGCAATTTAGTAACCACTCTCTTAATTAACAGCTTCTTGCTAGGAGGAATAAGCTTTGAAGTTTGGGAAATACGCGGCGATCTAGCTGTTGCTTAGTTGTGGTCTAGCTCTATCTGTTGGCCTGAAAAGCCAGGTGAGCCGCAGAGCTGGGTGTGGCCAGTGCCCTGGCTGATGCCCGTGAGTGAGTGTCATCGGGGAGAGTGGACAAGGTGACCCCAGGAACCTCTGTGTGACCTTGACATAACACACCCAAGAGTTCGGCCTGACTCCCAGGTGTAGCCACAATGCCCTGTTACTGGTTATTCCACATTGCTAACTTGCCTCGCTGGTCTTGTTAGCATCAGCTTTTGCCATTAAAATGCTGTAAGAGATCCTCTAGATTGTCTACAGTCGAGTGACGTGAGTTTTGGGTGCTTTGGGAAATCGGTCACCGTCAAACAGCAGTGTGCAGCTGCGATTGCGTCTGTCCTGTCCTCAGAGGTCTCCCTCTCTCCGCAGGAGATTCCGGTCGCTTCTGATTGGGTGAGATATGGCCACAGGGGGCGGAGAGGACCCCTGGAAGCCGAGTCAGAATGAAGACAGCCGTGAGAGCCCGTCCCCAGAAACAGGCGAGTACCACTGTGTCTCTTGTGGGGAAAGAAAGCTCAGACCTGCAGGCTTCTCAAGGCCGTGACAAAGCTGGTGACACTTTATCTAACACTACTGTTGTCTGCTATATAAGAGTCTATAAAATGCTGCCTCAGGAGTTCAAGGCACTGTTTTAGGGTTATAAAATCTGTGCTGCATAGTAACACAAGCCACCTTTTAAACTTAAAATGGCGAGTTACAGCCACTTTGGTGAAAGTAGTCTGGGGTTGAGTCCTGGAACCTGGGCTGGCAGCGCAGGCCGCCTCCTGACGAGCCCTGTGGGGAGAGAGCCAGACACTGGCGACTGGGAAGCGGGTGTTCGTGATTTGTGATGCCGGCAGGCCGGCGGCGCACTCGAGACAGCACTTCAGACACAAGGGCCGTGTGGCGCAGCGAGTGAGTCACTGAGAAAGAAGTAAACAAGCTGAATGGAGTGAGTCAGCAGATCGCCAGCCCTGTGGTTTCCTGGGCACAGACTCGCGCAGGTGTGTGCTGTGCTGAGTCACAGTGGGGGCGGGTAGGAGTGTGAACTGAGCTCAGCCTCCGCCTGAACTGGAAACCCTTCTCTGGATGTGAGGCTTAAGAGAACTTCCTTTATCGGACTGCCCGCATGAGGGACTGGGACTGGTTTCCCGCTGACCCCTGGTGGCCTCTGTGATGATATTTTTATGAGAAACTGTGAGTCTGTGTTGAAACCAGGGAGAGGTGGTTTGTGGTTGAGCTGTCTGTGTCCGTGTTCCAGCGGCTCGACAGTTTCATGATCAAAGATCCACGGAGCGCTCCCCTGAAAGAACTCTTCCCTTGAGCAGCTGTGACTTCAGGCCAGTCTTGGGCACCATTATAGACACACAGCTGGTGGCCTGGTCTTCCCACATCGTGCAGGGCCTGATGTCCGTGTTCGTGTTGTGGGAGTGTGTGTGCTATATTTTAGGCCTGGGCCCTGTGTAGCTGTGCAGTGTCACAGGTATCTGACCCACAGGCCTCGCTGCCAGCGATCTGCGTGGTGCTGGTTTATGGCAGGGCTGGGCTCGTCACAGAGTCCAGGTTGCAGCACGTGCTCTTGGGGCGTTTCCCCTCCTCGCGGCAGCGACTCGATCGGATGGCGTTTTTGGGGGGGGGCTCAGCTATGATGGGATTCCCAGCCCAGACATTCACTGAGATGGTGGGGGGGGGGCAGTGGGATGTGTGCTGGGAGGCTCTGTCTGCTGCCCCTCTGGCTGGGAAAGGTGGAGAGGTAGTGGGCAGTGACAGATTCACTGGCACCTCTTAACAGATTCAGCAAAAATAACCTTCGGTTTTAGTGACAATAGCCTGATGGATGCTAAACCGCCCCCCGATCAATTTGTACAAAGGCAAACGTGTAGAACAGTTCGTTCAGAGCATGGTACCAAAACAGACAGTATCAGAAGTTCTGTAGTTTAAAGAAATCACGTTGTGATGATGATGTTTAAATCCCTCTTGCCTCTGGTTACTGCTGCCTCCTCTCTTTACGTACAAGAAGGCGGCTCTGCAGCTGAGGCCGTGAGAACAGTCCAGATCTCCTAAGTGGGTTTTAAAGGAGGGCACAGGGCTGGGTTTCTGGCCCCGGAACATTCGTAAATTGCGTCTCCCTCTCCGTCTCAGAGGAGAATGTGGTGCAGGAGACAGAGGAGGTCTTCTGCAGCTACGTCTACTACCGGTACAACCAGGAGCGGGAGCAGGATGGAGACAAGCTGCCCAGGGACCCTGAGATCATGGCACTGCACCTCAACAGCACCAGGTAGGCAGCGCGTCCGGGTTCGACTGGGCTAGGCGATATGGTTAGAGATTGGGGTGGGTGAGGCTGGCGGGGAGAAAGAGGCTCAGTCAGATGTCCTGGGCTGCTGAATTCATGGAAGAAGCATGCTTTCCTGAACGGGTGAAAGACCTTTTCTCCCTCTAACTCCCTCTTCACAGCACCATGTCTCGAGTTGGGCAGCAGCTGGCCATCATTGGCGATGACATCAACAGGCGCTATGACCTCAGCTTTACTAGCATGCTGTCCCATCTGGCCCTCACGCCCGAGAATGCCTACAACTACTTCTGCAAGATTGCCAAGAGGTACAGTCTGCCCCCTGCTGGCCAGGACCTGCTGTTGCACATGCTTGTGGCCTGGGTGCATCTGTTTTGATGGGCTGGTCATCTGCTCATTGTGGACTATTTCCTGTGGGACTGGGGTCGACTTATGCAAAGATCCCCACAGTTGTAGCAAATTCCATGACACGAGGGTTATCCGTGTAATACCTCAGGTTTTGTCTGAGGACAAATTGGGAAATTGTGTACCATGAAAACAAGTGGCTCTCTCATTGAGAATTTTACGCTTGTTACGGTTTAAAAAGCCTTACAGAATGGGATGGCTTGATTGGAAATGTGCTGCAGCTTCTTTGTGTTTTTCTGTAGGCGGAGGCTTCGTGTTGCACGGCCTTGTGGGAGTCTAGAGTCATGCGCTGGGGGTTGGCACTGGTGTCCTTTGTCCCCAGGGGTACAGGAGAGCCGCAGGGCCTCCCAGGAGCATGACTGGTGACGGCACCTGCCCAAGCGCATGTTGAGCTCTGTACTGTCCAGCAGTGCTCTGATCCTGGGTCAGGCCCCCAGTCCTTGCAGAAGGGGGGGCTCTCTCGCTCTCTCACGACACAGCCAGATGTCTTATTAAAGGAATTCATGATCAAATCATTTGTAAGAAATCTGTGAAAAGAGTGCCAGTAGCAGTGTTGTACGCATGTTGCCTGCGCAGTAAAGCTGCTGTGCATGGAGCTGTTCACATGCTCTTTCATCAGGCTGTTGCGCTGTTTACCTGCTCAGCTCTTGCAGTCTCGGACGTGTCGGAGTCGTTGGGTGCCCCCCAGCTGCCCTTGTGACCCTTGACCTCAGGGTATCCGTGCTGCAGTTTTGCTCTTCCGCCTGCTGGTTTTACAGTGCTCTCGCCATGTGCCCAGCTCTTCCCTGGGCTCTGACGTTTTGCCACGCTTTGCGTTCCTGTGCCCCTCCCTGCTTCTTCCTGTCATGCTGGTGTGCTTTCCTGCACTAACGGGGCACTCTTACAGAGGGGCATGGCAGTCACATTTGGACAGGGGGCTGACAGGACGGGCCCTTCTCTCTCTCTCTCGGTGTCTAATGTGTGTCCTCTCTCCTCTCTGTCTCTTGTCTTCCCCCTCACTGCTGTAGCAGGGATAAGATCCCAGGTAATTACCTCGTCTGGCTCTATGTACGAGTCCGTGTTTCTGGAGCTGTGTGAGAGAGCGCGTGTGAGTGTTGAGTATCCTGTAGGTATGGAGAGTGACTGGTGTCCCAGCCCCTCCAGTGCAGCTGTGCAGGAGCAGAATAGCTGCTTGATCTCCAGGCAGAGTCGGGCCCCAAGCTGTGCTGCAGGGGCTGAAAAAACAGAATTTAGATCCTTTCCCTGGTCTCTTCTTCATGGTGCCTGTATGTTCACAGCCTTCAGTGTGCTTCATCATGCCCCCTGGACTGGCTGTGTGCCTGGCTCCAGTCTTACAGGAGGTCATTGAAGCTGTTAGTACCACCTCCCTTCATAGTGCCAGTCTGGCTGTTGTCAGTTAAGATCACAGGTCTGTGTAGTTATGGGGACTATGAATGAAGTGTTACCCATTGTTGGCTGTGTAGGTAGCTGCAGCTCTGGTTTCACTAGCAGCTGTTACTACATTGGCCTGTGTTATATTGAGAGAATAGCCTCCAGGTAAATTGTACAGATTCCACCTGCATAAGCAGATAAAGCTGGTTCAAGTCACTGTGTTCTCCCTCCCTCTCTCCACAGCCTGTTTGACTCTGGAATAAACTGGGGTCGTGTGATCGCCCTGCTGAGCTTCGGGTACCGCATGGCACTGCACGTCTTCCAGCAGGGCATGACGGGCTTCCTGAGCCGCATCGCCCGCTTCATCAGCGACTTTCTGCTGCGGCACCAGATCGCTCAGTGGATCGCACAGCAAGGAGGCTGGGTGAGTGTGGCTCTGGAGTGACAGTACAAACTGGCACTGCGGCTCCCTAGCACACTCTCAATGACAGTGATGCACTGTGACTCTGACACACTGACACTGGGACACGCTGTCTCTGTGACACATATGTGCCATCACTAGGACTCTTAACGCACTCTTTCTGTGACTTTCTAATGCTCTGACACTGGTGCACTACATGATGCTGGAACTCCGATGCACTACATGCTGTCACTGTGCTGGCTCTGTGGCTCTCTGATGCTGTGGCTCTGCAGCTCTTGATGTGCTGGCTCTGTGGCTCTCTGATGCTCTGGCACTGGGACTGACACGCTGACGGTATCTCTCACGCCCTCCCCCAGGTGGCTGCGCTGGAGCTGGACAATGTCTATGTGAAGTACATGCTGGCTCTGCTGGCAGTCATCCTCCTTGGTCAGTTCATCGTCCGACGATTCTTCAGCTCCTGACGGGAATTGGAGGTTGGAGCTGGACTCTTGCCACATGTGACGCCCAGACCTTTGACCTCTGACCCCTGGGACCAGGCTAGGGACTGCCGCTGTGCGCAGGGACTGACACTTCTGCAGAGGGAGAGATTGAGGGATCCAGAGAGAGGGGGATTAGCAGGAGAGAGAGGGTAGAGGTAAAGTCAGATGGAGGAATAAACTGTGGGGGAAAAACACTATTTACTTGGCATTATAGAAACAGTTCTGTTTTCATTAGAGATCAGGGAGCAAGGGATATTTTTTATAAACGTGGAAAATGAAACCGTAACAGTTGCATTTGCTACCCCTACCCTCTCTCCCTCAGTCCTTCTCTCCACTCTTGCATGCCAAGAAGCAGTGCATTTGTTTCAGGGGACTATAAAACAAATCAGGGATAAATGTCAGGACAGATTAGTTTTATCTATTTTTATTTCGATTTGTCACATGGATACTTGATGCTACTGGCTTGCCTCGCTTCCAGAATCTCCCTGTTCCAAGGAGAACAACACCTATCCCTTTCCGCCATGAGAATCTGTAAACTGATTCACTGCTTCTGTGACCCCGCTATATGTGACCGCTGCCCAGCTGCGGACGGCCTCCCACTGGGCTTGAGGTCATCATGGCCATCCCTGCAGCCAGTCCCCTTGAACCCTGGGCACCCCAAGTCCGGATGGACGTGCCCCCTCAACCACTGCAGGACACAGTGAGGGGTCTGGTTGCCCAGGAGTACTGCTGTGGAACGGAATCACAGGTACTCTAAAACTAAACCGGCACATTGCCAAACCCCTGTGTCCCTCTGCACTGTACATTTCACTTCCTTTCACCTCGACAGAGTCGCCAGCTCGCCACCTGACTCACCGCGCCTCCTAGCGGCTGGGCAGCAGTGTGACCGGAAGGAATCTTTTATGCAGGAATGTCTGTTTACTTCAGAATTTATCATCTTTATGCCATTTATACTACCAGTTTTAAACCTATAACGTTTCTGTGGAGTCTGCCTGTGGAGGAGTTCTGAAGAGGAACTTCAGAACTCATTTTTGAGTACTTCATTGTCGAATGTGATGTAAAATGCACAAAAATAACGATTATGAAATGCAAGATGATTTTTTTTTAAACTTCATCAACACAAAACAAGACTTTGTTTTGCAGTGGTGTTAAATGAGTTATTCACGATACAGTGGTAATGAGGACACAGATATCAGATGGAGGTTTCAGGGCCTCTGGGTTTCCGTGCTGCAGTAAGAATGCAGTGCAAAGAGGGGCGCTGTGCTCTGCTGTTCTCTCTGGCCTCTTGCCTCTCGAGTTTCTTCGACAGAGCAAAGACCCGAACAGCTCGCCCTCTCCTTCTGCATTCGGTCTAGATCTCCAGCCCAGAGTTGCTCCCACGGGGCCTGGTGCCGTGTTCCTGTTACTTTTCTTCTAGACCTTTTCCTCAAGATGGAATCACTCCAGTCTGGATCAGGGATCTCCCCACCTTGTGCCTCCGTTCGTCTTGTGTGTCTTCGGAGAGTGCTGGAGGCTGTTTTTATTGTATTTTACACCCGGTAAAGGGTTGAATTTCAGTTCCATGTCTTGGTTCAGGTGAATCATGCGTGTCGGACGTGGTGCAGGCAGTGTTAGAGAGCTGTCGCGGCTGGTTCCTGTCCCGAGAAGTGGAGAACAGAGTTCTGCACACCAGCTGTTTAGATACTGTAAGCTAAAGAGAATCAGGGCTTTGGAGTCTTGTCGCTGAGAAGGAAGTGGCAGAGAGACTGGGCTCTAACAGCACTGATTTTAAAACAATTTTGCACAGTTGAGTAAAGAAATAACTAGTATTTTATATTAATATTGTTAAATGAATATCATGGATATTGTTTTTTTTAAGTTTGGTGAAATCGAGCTGAGTGTCGTTGAGAATCTTTTTGAGTTTCTTTGGAGCTAATGCAGGGCGGCTGAAAACCACAGTCCTGGCTGCTGCAGCTATTCAGACAGCAGGCCTGTGCATCGCCAGCACAGCTGGGCCAACAGGGCTACCCGTTACACGCCTGGAGGCTTAATGATGCCAGTAAGTAAAACCGCACATCAGCAATGGCAATAATCCCTTTTGATAAAGAAGGGAGAAACTGTGAACATGCGCTGTGGAAAGAAAGAACAGCACAAAAGGGACAGATTTGTGTGATGTAGCAATGCCTGGCACCTCTAGCAGTGCAGAATTTCCCACACAGGGTGGACATCTTGTCCTTATTCTTTCCAGCACAAGAAGCCACTGACAGCGTCTTCCTTTTCAAAATGTGATTGAAAACGGTTTAAAACTGATTTTTTTTTGTTTACCTTGAATGAATGCCTTTGTGAGCTTTCGGGCAACTGCATGTGTAACTTTTTTCTTGAATATTAAAACAAAATTTGTCATACTGTTGTTGATAGTGTGGTGTTTATAGTACCAGACACCTTGGAATCTGTCATGAGGCTGAAGTCTTCTGTCTGTTCTAGCCTGGTTCACTCTGATTAGTCTCCTCACTGCAGGTTAAAGGCTGTGTCTGTAAAGAAAACCTGATCCCAATTAAAAATGAGAATGTTTGAAATCGGAGTCCTTTATTTCTGAGGTGTTTTGTTTAAGTCACATTTTATAAACCAAATGTTATATTTATGAGTCCTGCCCCCAGATTAGGAGTTGTTTGAACACCCATGAGACTGAAATGTAATATTGTGGTCACTTCTGAAACCAAATATCCGGTGGTGATCAAATTCAGATGCAGATACTAAGGAAGTTTTTTTTTTAGCTTTTTTTTTCCTACTTGGATTGGAGGTTGTACAGGTGCCAATGTTGTGTGCACATGGGTGACCTCCTCAGTATTGTAACTCAATCTTTTGTAGAGGGTGAGATTTTTTTAGTTTCTCAACTGAGTGGTTGAGGGATCACTACAGTGCACTGTCTCCTTGACTTCTGCTACTCTGACTTGTCATTCTCCATGATAACACTTCCTGAAAAACTGGAAGCTTTTAAAAAAAAAAATGATTATGCAAAAAATACAACTTCCAAGGTCATATACATGTAGACATTGCAACATGTAAATACAAATACAACATCAAGTGAACAAAGCAGAACAACAAATCAGTTATCAGAACCTTATTAACAAAGATTACAGTAGGGGGTCACATTAAATAATCTACTTGTGTGCTAAGAGGTTTCTGTAAACTGGTTTGCTAAGGGGATTTTTAGGTTTTTTAAAAGAATGTATGTACATCTTAAATTTGTAGTTTTTTTGAAGCACGAAGAACTTTTACGCACTCTACCCTTATGTACTGTACGTAAACTTCAGCCAATATTAGAATGACATTTACTTTAAATGAACTTCTTGGTTTTTATTCAGAACTCCTAAACAATATATCATTAAAACTTAAATACAAATTCTATTATTTAACCAAGGACAGACTGCCAGAAAGCTGCTGTGTAGAGATAAGATCACTTTGTTGGCCATATACAATTTCTTGTATTGGGAATTTCTTTTCACATACCCCAGCTTGCTCTCCATCAGACACACAGGTGGGGAGAGAGACGCTTGGGGTCAGCCAGCACCCCTGTAGCATTTGGGGTTAAGGGCCTTCCTCAGGGGCCCAATGGAGTAGGATTCCTCTGCCGGCTGTGGGATTTGAATCGGAACCTTCCAGCCACAGGTGCAGATCCTGAGCCACAGCTCCACCCTCCGATGATAAACGTGAGAAACAAAATGTTAGTTTGTTTCAAGTGTTACAATGAAAGTTAAACCTTTTCTCAGGTACACCTTTTCCGTAGAACATGTTTTAAGTATTTTAAAATGAATCTCTTTAATTTTGGGCAGAGTGGGAAGCAGAGGCGTAGCCAGAAATTGATTTTTGGGTGGGCCTGTGCAAAAGTAGGTTAGCCGGGCTCTGACCGTCCTGTCAGCACAGGGGCACCCCTCTGATTTACAATGCAATCCTCGAGCGGTATAATCAAACAGCAGAATGAGCGGAACCTTATATATACATACTGTCTCTCTCTCACACAGGTTAAGCAACAATTACTGTCTAGAGAGTCGGCAAATTACCGTTCAAATGACAGCTAGTTTGCAAAGGTCTCTCATATGAGGAGTTTGTCTTTAGCTAAAGAAAAGCTGCAAGAGCTCATTTTCACTTGTTGCTTGCTTCGTATGCCTGTTTTTAGATTGTTCAGTAGTTTTACAAGTTACTCTGTAAGTTTATATTTTATTGCAAAAAACAATGAACACAACGCCAGACGCAAGATTCAAAATCCGTCTGAAATACTGTATTTTAAATACTGTAACGTATACGGCCATCAAGGTGTGTAAGAGCCAGAGCGGTGATGTCGCCGCCCTTCCCTGTGATAGCAGGACTACAGCTACTGAGGTGTAGAGAGATCTCTCTTTGCCTCTCCGGGCTTTGTCCCTGTTGAGTGACGCGGGTGTCCCGGGTTCGAGCCCCCGACGGTGGGGGGCCAACCTAATGCGGCAAGGGCGCCCGCCAGAACCCCGTTGCGTTACAATACCATGTAGGGTTTTCCTTGAGCTCCGTGAAGTTGGCTCCCCTACAGACAATACAAACGATGAAACCGACCTCATTCGTTAGTGCTGCGTTTGTGCCGTTGAAAGTAGCGTTTGTCCTGCTTTCGTTTCCGAGATATAGCGCCATGTTTTGGGGTCGTGACGAGCACTAAGCCCCCCTGCAATGTCGTAGGGAAACCAAACCGGTCTCATTCGTTAGTGCTGCGTTTGTGCTGCTTTCGTTCCCGACATATAGCCCCTTGTTTTCCAGTGATCACGTGACCATGCACGGTGACTTTGACCTCCAGTGACCCCGTCTGCCGAGTTCAGGCGTCTGTTACCGGTGCGGGATAACAGTTCTGCAATTGTATTCCTCTGTTTGCCCGGATGGGGGCCGGGATTTAATATCAGTGTCTTCTGTGCGTTTGTGTGAGCAGAAAAATTAAATAAGTCACGAATATCACATACCCTAATCAGAGTTGTGGGTGTAGTCTCAAAAAGCGAACGCTAGCAAACAATTGCATATTCTTAATACTTCGTAGTGGCGTGTTTTTTTTTAAATCAGAGATTGAGATCAGTTTCTCAATGTCTCCTTCTCAGATAAACACGCGCACCAAGGGACGTGTTAAGATTAAACCCGTCAGTCGAGCCACGTGTTCAAAAACGCTTGAATCTGCAACTTTACAAACAACAAGATACATAGATATATAGGTGATGGATGTTCTTCTTGGTCCAAATACTGTAGCCCCGGTTAACAGTGTGTGCTGTATGAGCACGCTGGATATACAGCATCCATTGGTTTCCAATTACTAATCAATCTAAGAGAAGTCGCATTGAGTTCAAAACTGTTCACGACTCCGATAGCATGTCACGATAGGAGTGCGCGCATCACGGTCACAAGGCAATACCTATTGCGACTGGGCATCCCTGTCGTGACATTAAGTCCATATATCGCGATATGACATACCCCGAAAAAACGCCCCGCCCCCATGTCGCGACATGGAGCTCGCATATTGCGATAAGGCTACCCCCGACAAAATCCCCACCCCCATGTCGCGACATGAAGCTCGCATATCGCGATATGACATACTCCAGCAAAAATACCCCCGTCCATGTCACGACATGAAAGGCCCTAAATCGCGATATGACATGCCAGGCCATAACGCCCACCCCCCATGTCGTGACATGGAGTCCATATATCACGATATGACAAAGACTTTTACACCCATGTCACGACATGTAGCCCCTAAATTGCGATATGACATACTCTGACAAAATGCTCCGCCCCCCATGTCATGACGTGGAGTCCACATATCGCGACACGTCCTAGCTGGGTATATAATGTCCTGATATGAGACCTTTGTTGCCACAGCGGTGCCAGGCTGGCAGGGAAGCAAGGCGCCAGTCGCAATATACACTGCCGCGATTTACACGGGGTCCCTATCATGATATGCAGTGGAGGTCTTATCGCGATGGTATCCCACAGTTACGCGTTGGACAACAGCGTGTCATGTGCCTTAGAAAATAAAACCGAAAGATCTTACAATCACGGTGATTTTACTTGCATTATAACCACGGGTTTATGTCATAGATGGCTAACGTGTTGGCATGCGTCATGTCTTAGTATTATTCACAACTCAGGAGGCTCATATATTTATGGATATTGATATTGAAGCGCTAAACTGTATCAGAGCGCTTGAACTCGGCAGACGGGGTCACTGGAGGTCAAAGTCACCGTGCATGGTCACGTGATCACCAGAAAAACAAGGCGCTATATCTCGGGAACGAAAGCGGCACAAATGCAGCACTAACGAATGAGGTGGGTTTCATCGTTTGTGCTGTCTGTAGGGGGGAGCAACTTCACGAAGCCTTTACCTTGACTTTAAATATCCAGTGGACTTGAGCATAACATACCATACGTACGTGCACGTTCTTCTGGATTTCAGAGGCTGGAGTACATGCATCGCACAAAAGGTAATATCATGTGAGGCGCCTTGAGAATAAAAACTAAATATTAAGTTCTGAAGATCATGTTTGATACTTCGTGATGCTTTTAAACTTGTATGAAACACACGAAAGTAGTATTCTATTTTCGATGCCAAAAGACACTTAATTTGGAAATTGGTGACTTCCCACAAGACTTAACACTGAATTCTTACAGTGCTAACCAATTCATCGTACTTTTAATTGCAATAATTGTCTGCTAATAAAAGCGTCAAATACATACTGTAATATTTGTGTGCGTCAACAGTGAAACTGCATGTTGATTGGTGGAGGGCAGAGCGGGAATAACGGTTGTCAGGGTAACAGGCTATGGCGAATGTAGGAGCTAACGGGTTCGGAGTCACGAGTTAAAATTAAGTTTGTTCGAGTGGCACATCGTCGTCCTGGGTTGTTAATTTCTACACTATATGTGTACAAGAAACAAGATACATACTTTGGAAGTATTTTCGCTCTGTAAACTGCAGGGTATTTAGAGGCGATCGGAAACGTTTTTCCCTACGGGATTAATAAAGTATTATCTATCTAGTTATCTGTAAAATGCACACTCGCATTTATCGGTCAGTATTATGTTAATGTTATTCATGCATTCAAAAACTTGTCATATGTTTACAGGAGAAATTTTAGAACCTCTCCGTGCTTAAATCCTACAGGTCGAGCATGTATCGAGCTGCTACAAGCGAACGCCTGCTCTTGCGTTACAGAAACACTTGTATTCGGGAAGCCAGGCTGTTCTCCCTAAAACCCAAGATGCCTGTAGCATCTCATGTGTCTTTATTTGTTTCGGGACTAGTCTGGTTATCTACAGACGGCTTTTTGAAAAACCTAGATATATGCATTTGTTTTGCCATGTTGGCTAATAAATAAAAACCTAGCGCTAGATAGTCTGGCGAGTGTCTGAGGACAGCGATAGACAATTAGGCTACAGCTACGCATGCACCGCCGCACTATATTTACATAATTGTCTTAGTGGTCACAAAAGATACGGCGAGCTAAAAGCAAATCGCATACGATGAAAACAATCAAACACGTAGCATTGAAAAGCAAATCATGGAACGCAAACAAGGGGGAAAAAAATCTTAAATTACTTTGGACCGACTGGGTAGGATCAATCAGTGTGGGCCTGCGCCTGGGCCCACCCGTGACTACGTCCCTGGTGGGAAGAGTGACATTCTGTTCTAGCAGTAAAAATCCTGTTAACGCCTCGGACCCCGCGCCGGCCAGCCCCCCCAATCCCCAGTCCCGCTTCACACACGCATAAAAATGAAAATACATACATGTTTAGATATTTTAATAAAGCGACACGCAAAACTCTAATTGTAACTTGAAATGAAATCCAAAGTTAGTCGGAGAGCAGATGCTTTATTCAGAACCGGAGACCTGTCCCGCACTAACAACGTCATTGGCCCTCAGTTGCAAGATAAATTAGTGCGGCATAACTAAACTAGCTCGGGGAAAAAGTTAGCCGGACAGATTAAAAAAATACTACAGTGGGTGCGAGAAAAGGACAAGGAAGCAGAAGAGGGGGAGGGGCTGCAAATGTGTCACTTAAAGGGTCTTTGGAAAGGTTCTGGCAAGGTTCGTCGTAAAAACCAGGAGCGAAGAAACGGACACGGGTGGTGATCTGGACGACTACAAGGATGCTGTCATTGAGGCACCTGAAGGTACCGATAGCATTAGCAACAACGACTATTAGTAGTGTTCAGTTCTTGAACAAGTAATAGGTTTATTCCATGCTGAAAAAAAGAAGAAAGAGAACACAACGTTTCGGCCATGGAGCCTTCTTCAGGTGACGCAGGAGTTACGTCCTTCAGTTCCTTGTGTCTGTTTGCACAGACCAGTTAGGTAGTTATTTTATCACCTCAACGCTTCTCCCTGCCGCCACCACTACACACAAGAACCCTCCCCCCGGGCCGGGCCACAACATTCCTAAAGGTCAGTTCTTATTTTGATCATTCCCCGTGAAAGTGGTATTGACGTTGATATAACGCTGTAAAATTACAGGAAATGCATTTGTTTTTCTTTAGTGCTGTTAAATTTTAATGCCGTTTTCTTTTATTCACGGCACTACAATGCCGTTTAGGAAGGAGAAATCGTTCGAATATCAGGTTTTTGAACTGCCAAGTTTTAAGATGGGCAATGACCATCCCTGACCACAAGGTGGCAATGTTGTTTAATAAAGGACTGAATCATAGTAAACTAGATGATCTCGAGAACCACAATCCTCTTCAGAATAATA